GACTAAATTGCTCTTACGCTAGGAATAGCATATTAGGGCTTATAAATGCTTCATGTATAATGAAGACAACCCAAAGGAAATGATAAAATTATGAGCACTTAAATGTTAGATCTTTCTAAGAGAAAAATAAAGGGGAGAAACAAAAGAGTTCATCAAATCAAGGATTTTCTTTGAGGCTTTAATTTTGGTAACATTATTTCATCATCTTATTTTTAAGAATAAGGGAAATGCACAAGAGTGCAAATTATAGAGGAATTAAGTTAATGTGCCATAAATTAAAGTTGTGGGAGAGGGTAACTGAATATTGGTTACGACGTGAAACAAAAATTTTTCAAAATCAGTTTGGATTCATGCGGGGCAAGTCCACTATGGAATTTGTACTCTTATTGAGAGATTTGATGGAGAAGTATAAAGAGGGTAAGGAGGATCTATATCTGATTTTTGTTAATTTAGAAAAATACGTATAATAAGGTTCCAAGAGAAGTACTTTAGAGAGCTCTAGAAAAAAGAAGTTGATATTACCTTTATTCAAGTCATTAAATATATTTATGTTATATTTGTTACTTGTATTCGAGCAAAAGAAGGATTGATCAAAAATTTTCCTATTTCAGTTAGATCACATCAAAAATCGGCTTTAAGCCCGCATCCTTTTTGCTTTTGTTATAGATTTTCTTACTGGACATTTCTTGGAAGATGTACCTTGGTGTATGCTTTTCCCTGATGATATCCTTCTTGTGGATAAGACTCTAGAGAGAGATTAGGAAAAACTTGAATTATGGAGGTTAAATTTAGAGTCTAAAGACTTTTCTTTGAGTAGATCTATAGCTGAATATATAGAATGTGGTTTTAGTAAACAGATCTAGTGGCAAGGTTGAAATAATAGGTAATCAAATCATTAAAAGGAGTGAACGTTTAAGATATCTTTGGTCTATTGTTCAAAGTGATGGTGAAATAGATAGAGATGTTATTAGTGGAATTCAAGTTGGATTGTTGAAGTGGAAGAATGCATCAGACGTATTGTGTGATAGAAAATTACGGCTTAGCCTTCAAAATAAGAAATTATAAAATGCTTGTGAGGTCTGCAATGTTTTATGGTGCAAAATATTAGCTTGTAAAAGAGAAGCATAAAATTATGTTAAATGTTGTTGAGATGAGAATACTTAGATGGATGAGTGGCTTTACACTCAGTGATAAAAATGTGAAACAAATGCATCCGTGAAAGGGTTTGAGTAGCTCCAATGGCAGACAAGATTAGAGTGAGTCACTTTAGATAATTTGGTCATATTAAAAGTGAACCATTTAATAACCCAGTTAAAAGAGTTGATGTTCTAGAGTTGACTTATGTTAAGAAAGATAGAGGTCGACCTAAAAGGACTTTGGCATGTTGTATACAAAATGAACTTAATTTATTAAAATTAAATCAAAAAATGACACTCAATAGGACACAATGGAGAAAAAGTATTCATGTAGCCAAACTCACTTAGTGGGGTAAAGACTTGTTGTGTTGTTATTCTATTTCATCATAAGTCAGTTTCCACTTTTTTTATTTATAAAATGATGATCATGTCAACCTTTTAAGTGGCATCCATTAAGGGTCTGTTTTGGGCAGCTGTTGCTTATCCAGCATACTCAGATAAGCAGCTTATCCTGATAAGCTGTTGATCTGCAGTTGATCCGGATAAGCTGACCGGCTGTTTGGTTTGTGCGTTTGGAAAATAGTTAATTTGCAGTTGTTTTTGGATAAATGGTCATTCTGACCCTGATATGGATAAACTCGCTAGTTGTTTGGTTTGTGAGTTTGGAAAACGGTTGATTTTAACCCACTAACACACTATTTCCAAATGCGTGTAATTTTAACACAAATCAAACATAACAATGAGGCACAAGTTAGCATATCAAACTTAACTTAAACCTAGGAAAGGCCAAACATTCAATCATTTTCTAAAAAAGTCAATGGAATCGTTTTCATTTATTTATTGATGAAATTAAAAACCAAACCCTCTCCCTAAAAAGATCAAAAGCCAATAGAGTAAAATGGCTAAACAACTCAGAATACAACAGAAGATCAAATGGATTCAGAAATCACAAAACTATAAAATGATTGAATGTTTTAACAAATAGTTCTTTGCTCGATCGAATCATTTCAAAATAAGAAGAACCACCAAAATGCAGAAACACTTGCCCAATTTAAGAAGGTGAAAAATACAAGCAAAACCTGCTAACAAAGAAACGAAAGACCTGACGAAGAAGAAGAAATACATGAATTAGCAAAAACTAGAGTTCAATAAACAGAATAAACTAGGTGGACATGAAGCGCATCTGAAATTGGGACCGGAAGAACAAAGTGGAAAACAACTCATAGGTAACGTCCCGATCTCTTGTTGACTGGAGATTCCCGGAGTTGGTGAGGTGACTTGGGCTTCTTTCGCCATTAGAGGGTTCCTCGATTCTTGTGTCGAGGTCGATCATATGCACAACTCGGGTGGGGATAAGAAGCTGCTGCTAGGTTAGTGGATTAAAGCTCGCGGGAGAGATCAAGCAAAGCAGATGAATAGAAGAAAGGCACATGAGTAAAAATCCGCTCGACGCGGATTCAAGACGCGGGCCGCAAGGTCGACCATGCGGTCTCGTCTATTAAGAAAGTTGAAATGCCGTTTTTCAATAAGCTTTCCAAACGCACTAAACAAACAGTGTGGTGGCGTTCTCAAAAAGCCGCCCGCACCTATAAGTCGCCTCAAACGACCCCTAAGTCACCTCCAAAGTTCAAGAGAACTTTGATTTAGTATTCTTATAAACTAAGACTAAATGCAGTGGTATCTTATAAGGCTCGACATGTTTGCCAAGCATGGTACAAAGGTTTCTCTACCTACTCAGAGTAATAAGTGAACTTGTAATTGCAAGTTTGGAGCAATGGAACATAGTTTGGATAAGGGCTCAAGCATGAACATAGCCCAGTTGGGCCCTTAACGAAGTAAAATTTCTAGTGTATAACTCTCGAAAACATAGACTGATATCGTTGCTCTTTAATTCACTCATTTCTCCTTGTGTTAGAGGTCACTTTGGTGGCTAATTTTAAAGCTACTCTTGTAGCAAAATTATAGAGAGCATTTAGATGAGCAAAAATTTTATATTGATGATCATATCATATAATCTCATAATCTAATTGTATTCTCTTTGCTTAGGTGTATGGTGGTTTACCAGTTTTGATCTATAATCCTATATGTTGAATATTTCATTTGTATAGTGCTTAATAATTATTTATTCACTCGCTTTCTTTTTTTATAGAATGAACCATAATTAAATTCTGCCATGTCACTTAAAGGATTTAAGTATTTAAATACAAGTAGTGTACATACGTTTATATTTTATCTCCTACTCGTGTACACTTTGTTTTGTCTCAATTGATTGATTTAATAGTTATATTGTTAGCTTCTGTAAATATATTCATTGTGTGGGTTTTGAATTGATAGAAGTTTGAAAGAAGTTCAAAAAGCCCCATATAACCCCATCCCCCTCCCACTTTTGATGTGCCCTTTAGAATCAAAAAAGCCATAAATTAATAAGTTTGAAATGTCTATTAAAATATATGCAACGGTCACATGTGTCAACCCTTAAAAATCATCTTCATTATTCCTAAATGGATGAATACAACTTTCATTCATTATCATCAAGGCATATTGTTCACAAGTCCAACAGAGACTAATCCTCAACTGAATTCAGAACTATTATATAATAGGTGAGCAATATTCCCATCTCAGTTCACTGTCAAATAGTGGATTTAGGCTTTATTTGGCAATGTCATTTTCTTTTGCATTCTATTGTGCGGTAAAGATGATAAGTGTTCGGTAGAAGCATGCTAGAATTTTCACAAAAATGGTTATAAGAGAGTTCTATATGGTAACAAATTGTTGAGTTACAGACATTAGTTCATAGAATGATTGAAATGGGTATGTTATGAAGTTTATATAATTATAATTATAAAACAATAATTAATTTTTTAGTAAATTAATGGATCAATAGAAAAAAGCAGGAGTCTATAAAAGTACATTTTTGGGGAAGCTACCATAAGCACTATTACAACAAAGCTATATTTAAACTTTTATACAGCTAATTTTTTTCTTCCAAGTGTTGCACCAAATATCTTAAAACTACTTTTCTTGTTCAAATAATCAAATGCAAACATTGGAAAGAGTAACAACCCAGACTCTCAACCAATGAAATATTGTCCACTTTGGCTTCATGGCCTCACAGTTGGGTACTAATTTAACTTCCTAGAGGTCACCAACCCAGAAGTGTTCCCACATGAGCACGCTTAACTTTAAAGTTTCTGATGAAATTTCAACCATTACACCAAAAGGCAGCTCAACAATTAAAAATTCATCTTCATTCTATTCATGTTCCATAATCTCATCACTTGATTAACTAAGATTTTCATCGATACTTTTAACCCAACATCATTCACCAAACATAAGAGTTTTTAGAAGTGACCCCTACAGAGTCGCTCCCACCATGTAGTACTTTGTCCCATCTAGGGTTTAAGAAGTAGTTTCCATGACGTAGCACTTTATTTTGTAGGGCACTTAGTTCCAATTTTCAAACTGATGTAACAATAATGTCATTTGAAACAGCCCAAACTCTCACACATCGAGATATTGTCTGTTTTGATTTAATGGTCTCACGGTTTTATTCTAATGGCCTAACTTCCGAGAAGATCACTTGCCTCGGTACTGCTCTTGCAATAACAAATTTAACTCTGAAGTTTCTTATGAAATTCCAATCATTAAACTAAAAGGTGCCTTAATGAGTTTAACTTCATTCTGATTACAGGGTTTCATAGAAAGTAATACCGAAGTAAGACTTAGTATAAATTTTGAAATCACTTGCAATTAAGCATGCAATAGGAATCCACAGGAAATGTAAAAAGCAATATAGCAAGACCTTCACCAAGTAGTTGAAAAGGTTACAAACTATCTTGCAAGTGAAGCAAAAATACCTCGTACCTTCTTAGTTTCATCTTCAAGTTTCCTTATGTCACACTCACATTGAGCTACCAAATTATCCAGCTGCCCTGATCTGAATGTCAGTTCTCTTCTTTTAGAATCCAGCTCAATCCTTATCTTCTCATTCTCATCAAAAATTCTATGAGAATGATCTTGGGTGAGTTGCTGCATTCTTCGAATTTCTGAAGGACAATACAAAGTTCCAAAGTGTTTTTGAAGGAGTGTAATATGCAATTATTTTTTTTTATAAAAAAGGCAGAACCAACCCTTTTCAAACTATTTCAAAAAGAAATAAATTCAAGCAGCAGAACAAGAACTAATGAACCCATTGAAAGCTGAGGAAGTTCTATTCCACAAAACTAAGCCTAAAGGCAAATCAAAGAGAGACCATATTTAGCAAATGAACCAGATAAACACCCACATCTCTCGCTTGATAATGGAATGAAATAAAATTATTGCTAAGCCAGGTCTTTGTTTCCTTCAGTACTTAACTATATCAAAGATTAACTTTCCACAGTAACACGTATCTTAGAGAATGTGCAGCCAAATTTCAATTTTAATTTCTAGTTTGAGAGACTCTCAGCAAAAATATTCATATCAATTTGTAGGGTGGAAATATTTATGAAGCTCACCATTATTATAGGATTCACGTAGTTTGTCTTTTTCTTCCATCATCTTATTGAGCAAAAATTTTGTCTCACTGTATTTGCACTGAAGTTCCTCAATGTGTTTCCTTTTGATTTCAATCAGAGTTTCCAAATCTTGAAATAGTTTGCACGCCTTGACAGATTCTATATTAGTTATTTCATCAACAGTTTTCAACTCTCCATTTTTTTGCAGATGTTCCCCAATAGGGCCACCTGAATAATAGTCATCAGCCCGAGCCACCCATCCATATATTCCTAAAGCAGTATTCCTTTTTTCAACCCAATTTGTCATACCAAACTTATCGACATAAAAGTAGTTCTCAAAATCCATTGCATCCCTATATCCACTCCAGTCTTTGTTGAAGTGCACAATAATATTTCCCGTATGGCCATTGAAATTCCATAAATAGTGAACTTTTAGAAGATTGAATTTAGAGAGAAGCTCCTTAAGCCTATTTTCAACTTCACCAACATAAATTCCATTTTTGAATTCCATTGGAACATTTACAACGATACCCATCCAGGGCCAGACAAAGCGCAAATCCTGTTTAGCTTTAGGATGCTTGCTTTTGGTATAGATAAGTTGTGATGGACTTGAAGGATCACCGAAATCATTCTTCAGGAATTTTACTATGGCTTGGTGGCTTGCCCTCACCTTTGCGTTCAAGTTAGTAGCAGCAATAGATGTAGCATGCTGAACAAGATCCTTATATTTATAATTTTGTGTCTTCTTTTTCCGACAAAAAGGGCATCTGTAAATGTTCTCCGAGACTTTTACTTTAAGCTCTTCTGACTTTAGTTGCAAGTAGAAGTTGCCCTCATAAACAACTTTCTCGGATTCACAAAATTCAATAATTTCACTGAAGCTGTAATCCATCAATGGAAGATAACTGCAGAAAGAAACAGAAAAGTTAACATGTGTGTTTTGAATTGCTGGCAGAATTTGAGGAAATATAAAGAAGGGAAATTTACATACCTAGCATACAATTCTTATGTATTAACATATCTCGCATCCAAACTTTCATATTTAGATACATATCACTTTGCCGCTTTAAACCTATTCATGAAAAGGTATGTTTCACTTCTAAAAAGTGTTTACAGTGCTATTTTTACATACCTAGCATACAATTCTTATGTATTAATATATTTCACACTTAAACTTTCATGCATATCACTTTGATGCTTTAAACATATACATGAAAAGGTGTATTTCACTTTTAAAAAGTGCTGTTTTTACATACCTAGCACACAATTCTTATGTCTTAACATATCTCCGCCTAAACTTTCATATTTACATGCATAGCAGCTGTGTTGTAAACCTATGCATGAAAAGGTGTAGTTCACATTTAAAATGTGTTGATAGTTATGCGTGTGTAAATAAGAGAATTTGGGTGTGAGATACGTAATTACAAAAGAATTGAATGTAAATGTTCCAATAATGAAATGGTGCATTCTGTAAAAAGAAATGCCTTTGGAAAAGGATTCATGCGTATCACAATTACTCTTTACAAAAGCAGGTGTGCAACCAGGACAAAGTTGCAAAAATTAGATCCTGAAAATTAGATGAACCAAGAAAATACAACACAACAGCTAACACTGAAGATAAAGCATTTGGTAACTAAAAGAAATCTCTGACTTTTTGGTGAGGTGAACTCAGTTTTGTGCAGCAAACTTTATATGAATTTCACAAACACACAAAAATAAAAAACTGAAATTAAAGTTTTCCTGATACCTGGATATTATAATTAATCATACAACTTTCAAAAAAATTAAAGAGGAAATCCAAAAGTCAATAAATATAACAGAGAACACTGACCTAAAATACTGAAGTATCCATGGTGGATAACCTAAATACCCTATGATAAATGTTTGGCTGCATAAAAGCCTATAATGTTTATGTTTATATACAAAAAACCAAAAAAAAATTTGTTTATGCAATATATCATATTTGCCAACCCCACTTAGTGGGATAAAGGCTCGTTGTTTTTATTGTTGTTGTATAAGATTCCTCAATCATAATAATATTAACTACAAAACATGATACGTGCTGCATTGAAACATATAAATACGTTCAGCCAAACGATATTGAAAATAGATTTGATAAATATTCAAGTATGTAGAAAATGTATTACTATAATAAAAACCGCAGTCTGCAAAGCCAATAGGTCATATTTTCTACGTATAAGTGGAATAATTCCCTAACTTTAGCAGCCAAAATCAAACTATACGACAAGTTTATTTCAATAGATGCCTCAAAATTGCCTCCTGAAGTATGCCCACACCGGTAACTAACCAAACAACGGATAAGAACACAGAAATTCAATAGCCACAACTAGCTCCTTCAAGAACAAAAAAGACAAGATCCTTCAAGAAAATCAAAGGCAAGCCAATGTTGACCTCTATAATTATCTCGCGTCAATTGCGATTGAAAGAATCGAAAATGGTGGCAGATGAGCATGAAGTTTCATAGATCAAGTCTGAATTACCTCGACTGCAATGAAAATCAACTGGACATCGACCACTTATAGAAAAAACTTCATCAATGAGTTTAAATGTTAAAATTATTAAGAAAGGGACCTCTATGATTAATTTGATCAAGCGCAATGAAAATGACCGATTACTAACATGACCTCGAACAAATTATGGTTAATACTCCTCGACCACTACCAAATAAACTCACATGTTGTTCATTCACAAAATGGATTCATGAATGCATCTGAATTATCAAAAATATCTCGGCAAAACACCCATGTTGTTTGAGTCCCTACATGCAAGGTGTCAACAAAATCAAGGCGGCAATACATGAATCAAACCAAGGAAAACATAAAAGGTTACAAGAGAAATAGCTGATGCCCACAAATAATTCAAATTTGATTATAAAATTATAATAATTTTATTATTATTATTATTATTATTATTATTAAGTAAATCAAGTGCAAAAGAAAAAAATTACCAAACCCCTTATCATATAATCACCGCCATAATCCCTTCAGACCCGCCACTCCACCCAAACCAATGTGCATGCCTAACTTTCCCATTAGTCTTCCTCGTTATAAATAAGAAAAACTAAAAAAATTGATCCTAAACCTACTTTATTTGGCATAAGGCTCCCTTGACCATTCTTCAATTTTGTTGCACACACGACATAGGCTCTTGCATGCCCTATCACTTTGTTTTTTCCCCTATATCGCCCATCTCCCACTCAAGTAGAAACATTCTCTCCTAGCCCTCTCTCCCCACTGCAGGACGCACACACTTGCAGTTGGCCGCTCCAACCCATCATCCCAACCTCCTCTCCTTCTCGTGTTGAATGCCTCTCCTCTTGTAGCACATAACTACACTCCTCAATGCCCCTATTCCCACACAACACCATGCCCCTTTCTCTCTTTCAACCTTTCATCCAGCCGCAATGACACACAAACACAACTTGACCTCTCCTTCCCCGACCAACCTGCTGGCCACTTAACACAGCCGCCCTCATGCTCTCTCTATTTCTTCATACAACAAACTGAACCCCAACCCTCCATATGAAAGTAACTAAGAACAAAAATTTAGAGAGAGCTTAGAGATTTATGCAACTTTAGAGTTTTATCCTACTGCCATAATGAATGCAATATTGTTTAATTGTCATTGCGTTGAATACTATTGACTGACTAATATTATCCGAATGCCGTCTCTCGGCTTTTTTCATCTAATCTTTAGCATTCAATTGCCATCTCCAGAACTCCATCGTCATCCTCCACTCCTACCCCAACGGACAAATTATCATGAAGAGCATTACTTTGTAATCTCGTCTTCTTTAGTTCATAGAAATAGCAAATCTTTGTAATCTCAACTAGCACAACGAATTAATCTTTCAGGGCTGTCTGGAAACGGATTTATCCCGGAATTTAAGTGGGAAGCAGACTAAATCTTGTACGACGGTCATTTTGGACAAAAAGAAGCTGCAGATTTAATGAATCCGGATTTCGCGGATTTTGGTTGTATATCAGGGATTTACTAAAGCCCCCAAATCGGCAGATTTACGGGATTTAAGCTGAAGGGAAGATAAGAATGTAGGTGAGAACAATGTGATTGCTTAAATCTTGCCAAACACTATTATTGGAGTTGCAGGATTTACTGAATCAATTGCAGGCAGTTTTCTAGATACTATTTAGTAAATCCAGATTTACCGGATTTACTAAATCCTAATAAGTTAGATCTAATCCGTTGCCAGACAGCCCCTCAGATTAGTCCCCTTGAATTCTTTATTTTTGGGTTTTAGGTGTAAAAATTTTAGTGTTTCCTGCAGTTTTTTCATCAACCTATTTATTTGAGGAATCATCAAACAAAGCTAAGACGTAAAACCCACACTCTACTCTTAATTTTCTGGCACGCAGCAATCACAAAACTAAACAACAAGGCCTACATTGAAAAGGCTTCAGCTTAGCACAAGTGAAAACAACCAATTTAAAGTTAAGAACACTAAAAAGAAGAGTCGCCAAGATCGAAAACAAAAGCGCCTGATCCGGAAAAGCAACGTCCGAATCCTTGCTGGAAGCGCAAAGCTGTCGCTGCAGAACCAGATAAAAAATACATACCAAATAGTGCAAGTATGCCCCTCAATTTTTTCATCGCGAGGAATTCAATCCGTTTCTTAGTGGAAGCATAGAGACTAGGGTTTAGGAGAGGCTTACCGGAGACCAGAGAGGGAAGAAGACAATGAGGACGGGAGTCAAACCGAAAAACAATGAAAAATAACTGCATTAACTAGCGATCTTCAGCAGG